TTACCGCTGAGTGGTATATCACGGTTTGTTTGCTAGAAATGATAGCCGAACTCCGAAAAAATAACCCGAAACGTCGCATCATCTTACATCACGATAATGGGAGCTTCCATACGGCTCGGAAGACAAATGATTTTTTGAAGCAGGAAAACGTTGAGCTGATGAGCCATGCTCCGTACAGTCCTGACCTGAGCCCAAACGATTTTTTTACATTCCCTAGAATGAAAGATTTACTACGCGGTCAACGGTTTGAAGACCCGTAAAAATCGGCCATTTTGACAACATCAACTTCAGACTAGAATTACTGTTTTAATGATTGGTTTGCACGAAGGAAAAGTACATTAAGTTTAACGAAGAATACTTCAAAAAACAATAAAATACAATTTAACTATACCATGCATTTGATTTTTCTTATTCCCGATCATTTCAGTATGCGCCTCGTAGATGAAGTAATATTTTTTTTATTGAATTAGGGTGACAAACGAGCACACAGTCCACCTGATGGTAAGTGGTTGCTGTGGCCCATAGACATCTACATCTATCCTTGTTTACGAATCAAAATGCAGATGCATTGTCACCCGTGAGGACCAAGATGGAATGCCTCTTTTCCAGTAAATAAGGGTCTGCGGTTCTCTACACTCACCATACGAAACACAGTAGCGTTATGCTGCTATTTTACGCTGGTATTCTGTGAGAGCGTAGTCCTTCCCCGGTCGAGCCAATCCATTCGTGCTACAACTATAGCAGTAATATAACTGCAGGAAGGCTCTACCACGTAAAAATATTTTACAGTCATATCAAATGATAAGTAACTTTTACTAATACATACATTGGTATTGAAAAAAATAATCAATGGTTTATACAAGAATTATTTCAGTAAAGGAAAAGATTTGGTCAAATGGACTTCATTAGTAATCTCTAATTGATAATTAATATAATCAGGCGTTACTTTGCAAAAGTCTATTATATTACAATGGATAAAAAATTACTTCGCGTACATCCGCTCGATAAAATAAAATGATGTGTCTTACCTAGTTTGAAGAGCACCTCCCGGCCTCCCTCAATTGCGTGCACTATCACCGTCACCACTAATCCCAGCACCACTAATTTTACAAACGGCTGCGTAAGTCCAGCGGTGATTGGTCGCATGTTTTATCGCATGACGCAGTCGCTCGCTCCTTAAGTAGGGAGCGGTTGCGTCAGCGGTCTGTATAAATAGGAGTTATTTTGGCTCGCCACTCACTTAGCGGTCAGCCACCGCAGAGTCTAGATTACCTGAAAATGCCTCGTGTAGAGGCGAAACACGTGTCGTATTGTAGTCAGTGGTGTGTTTTTCCTAGTGTAGTGGTGACGGTGATAGATCACACAATTGAGGGAGGGCGGGAGGTGCTCTTCAAACTAGGTAAGACACATCATTTTATTTTATCGAGCGGATGTACGCGAAGTAATTTCTTTTACCAACTTTAATCTCTAATTGATATAAAGTGAGATCGAGAAGAGTCCGTCGCACTGCCCTAATTCGTGTTGGTAGACATCACATAACTTCGAAATATTTTTAATTGAATATTATTAATCTCTATATATAAAAATCAATTGCTGTCCGTTAGTTTCGCTAAAACTCAAAAACAGCTCGGTAGGTGGCGCTGTTGTCGAGATCCAAGAATCGCCTGTGCGGAGCCGGGACGGATGGCTCGTAATTAATATAATATAACACTTTTTAATTAGAAGAAGCGGAAGTTTCTTGGTCATTTATGGATATATCAAGGTGCACCACTTAGCCAGGTCTTCGGTTATGGATGTGACTATCGTGAACCACTTCTATTACAAGCATTTGAAAGCTCAGTTAGAGTGATTAATTGAAGTATTAATAGTTTTAAGAGTACTGCTAGTATTATTTTAAAAAAACTAAGACATGCTCTTGGTAAATCTGCCTTAATATTGAATTTATATAGTACTTAATATTAGATTAAGATTAACAATATGTGTCTCTGATAAGAACCGATTTCATGCATCAGTCAAGTTCCAGAAGAAATTTATAAGAAAATTCTAATTCGCCATAAATTAAGCTTATAGTTAATACACACACGTAATCGTCATCATTATCAGCTCATGGCAGTCCACAGCTGGATATAGGCCTCTCCCAAGACGTGGAAATAAACATAAGCTTCGGTTTTACGTATCTAACTGACTAACTACTGCCCACCGCCTTGCGCAGATTATCGCTTTAGCTAGCCAGCACTATGTTTATTCTTACAACGATTGCAATTAGGCCCCCCGCGCACTAGGCAGCCTGGCTGCGGCAGCCAGGCCGCGGCAGCCAGTGGAACATATGACGGTGTATGGGAGTCCGCGCACCTAAGCAGCCACGAACTTCCGTCTGCGGTAGCCATAAAAGCGCGTCCGATTGCACGGCAGCCCGTTGGCTGCGCGCAGCCAGAGCGAGTAGGCGAATTTATGTGGCTGCCGTCAGTCAACGCGCACTTGTCGTAGTAGCCAGACGTATTTTATGTTTCGAAACCACAAAATGACGAAGAAAGGGTCACAACTGGCTGTCCATTGGCTGCTCAAATATTTGGGCCGCCGCAGCCTGGCTGCACAGCCCGTCTGCTTAGTGCGCGGGAGGCCTTACTGTAAAAGAAAGCAAGATAAAACGACAAAATAAATGTTTGTAATTTTATTCATTTCAAATATATCAAAAACGTAACTAGTTCGACCCAGTTACAAAAGATCCATGCAATGAAAAATACGCGTAGAATTACACATTAGGCATTTAAGTCTAAGAGGAACAATCATTTGGAAAATTAACGATTTTTAAACGCCTCTATTTTATTATTTTCCCAGAGTATTGTTCAATCCTTTAGAGTCTTCTAAATAAATACTTAATTTTAAGTTGACATTATAGAACAAGTCCTATATACTTAACCTCAAATCTCTACCCCATTTTCACGTTTCAATAAACACAGTACTTGGCATTGGTTCGGATCAAAGAACAAATAATAGTTATGGTTATGGTTATCATTGAGTTTATATTTACCGAAAGATTTTAATCAGACAAAAATCATTTTGATTATTTCATCAATGATATGTGATGGTTTTTCCATATTAAAAATTTTTTATTAATCACATTCTCTATAGATTAGTATTTAAACTTAAAATCTGTGGTCTCTTTAGACCATAGATTTTAAGCTTAAATACGGCTTTTAACTTAAATTAAGCGGGCAATGGCTCCGCTTTCAACCAAGTATCGGCCACAGAAAGTAAGTAGAGCGGTGCATCGCAATACAGACACTCCTCTTCCCTGCAGCACCACCATACTGTAGCAACGGTGCGGCCCCGACAGAGTCGGCTCCACACTCTTCTTGCCGCAGTGTGATGACACATTCGAAGTGGGCTCGCCAAGCCCACTCGGAGTAGCCACCTAATTTAACCTGACAACACATCCTTACATCTGGTATCATGCGCACTCATTACGCATTCATTCTCATTGCCGCATCTTTTTGGTTTTTGATTTTTGGAATAAAAATACTTCGAAGTGTAGCTATTAATTGCATATATTTAAGATAAGTAAACGAACTAATAAGAACGAATTTTTATGTAATTTTGCAATCTGGACCCTAAATCTAACACAACACAAGTGTAACACAATTTTTAGTAAAATATCTTTGTCTCTTCAAAGTGTTGGTCCATTTTGTCCGTTCTATTACCTCCGCCCGATTACATTATTTTATTTATGTATTAAGGAAGACACGTTGTTACGACCACGTTCACTTTTCACAAAATATATAAGGGTGTGAAACGAGCAAACAGTTCCATACTGATGATAGTGGATTCTATCATATACACCTATATCGATACCTCCCACGTAAGTTGTTGTATCCCCAAAACTGCAATTTTACAGTAGAGCATTTTAAAGATTCAAATTGGTCTAAAAACTGCATTTATTATTCTATCTTTGTGAAATTTAGTATGTGTATATAATTTTTAGTATTTTAGACAATACTGAAAGATAGTTTTAAAAATATGTATATTTTCTGAGATATCGTTCATACAACTTTTTACCGCGGAGTACAGACTGCGTCTGTTGTTGTATGTCATACTTACAACATTACACCGCGGAGTTTAGATTTCGTCAGTTTTTGTATATGATAGTTACAACAATATTCACTGAAAAATATAAGTCTAACTCCACTGTATGTGGTTATAACTATATGTATATTGGTTAAAAATTAAGTGTGTATTATTGTCTGTGCACAAATACAAAGTTCAGAAATAAAAAAAATATTATCAAGTATGAATTTCTTTACTTTTTTAATAGGAACGACTCTTCTAGATATATTTATGATCGTTTTATGAACATTGCAATAAAAGTATTTAAATTCATATATTTTGCACTAAGATCTTAGAGAACATCTTTAAAAAATAAATAAAAAAAGAACATAAATTATACTTACAAACACATATAATCTTTTTGATAATGTAATAATAAGGTAGGTATTCAAAAAAATCGTAAACAAGTCAGGTTATTTAAGACATAAAAAGGCTTTTGTACATACTTTAATTTTTTAAGGCGAATATAAAACCCAAACGTAGCTCACTCCCTAGGATATTTTAGTTACTTAACAAATTCTTCTTAAGAACTAATTAAAATATAATAATTAAAATTCAACATTATGGAACATAAAATAAAAAAATATTACTTATACGTAATAACTTCTTTGAGATCAATTTAAAATCAAGATAACTAGAAATCAGGTAAGTATTTATGATTATTGGCATTGCAACTATCCTTGGTTTCATTCGAAGTTTATAATAAAAACAATTGTCAAACTTATAATTAAAACATTAAACCATTGAGATAATTTAAATTGAATACAGCTAAGTTTTGGTTTCAATGTAGCTTTAATTCTAAAAAAACCAATATTGATTTTATGAAAGTCAATAATAAAAACTAAGATGCATAATTAAAAGAAATTTCAATCAGTTAAAAAAGAAAAGACTATGTACTACTCTGAATCAGAAAATTCAACATCATTATGAGAGTCTGCAACAAAAGATAGACTCCTGAAAAAGTCGTGGTATGTAGCTGGAATAATTCCACTGTAACAGAGACTCATTAAATCATCATATTTTGCCTTTGTTAGGGGAAGATGGTTGGAATAGAGAGGGCTAGCTCAGTCATACTATTTCTTTGGCGTCTTCGGGTATTGGTATTAATGGCAATCGTCATAGCATTACTGTTTGCCAAATCGTACCGATAGTCAATTTTAAAAGGATCTCCTGCACATATCCGCACTTCTTTTATTTTGTTCCATTTAACTACATCTCCACTTATATTTTTTGACCAATTGCGCCCGTTCAAAAGTTCTTTATAATTAAAAAAATCGGTATGCTTCATTTCTATGACGTTATATGGTTTTTCATCCTGTTTCGCCCATCTAACCAAGCTAATCCATTCCAGAGGGGTATAAATAAGTTTATTTTTGGATGAACGTTCTATTAAAGCGTGAACGCTGTCGCTCTCTGCTTGGGTATGACCTCTTTCTAGAAAGGTATGTTTTATAGTAATTTTAAGTTTATGCGCAATATACACATAAAATGCAAATACAATGCGATTGCGGTTCTGGCCGGCACAATTATCAGACCAGAATCGAAATTCTTGTGCGCCCCGTTCATGCATTTTTTGTATAAAATGAGAGAGACAGCTTGATACCTCATTAGGACCACGTTTGGCTTCTCCCTCGTGCCACATATAACAATGACCCTCTTTATTTGCTAGATCAAACATAGTAAAATTAAAAACTGATAACTTCCGCTTGTAATATAAAATATTTAACTGTCCATGAGGTGCATTAAGAATCTTTTGAAAATCAAAACTAGCAGCGACGATTTTACCTTGAGAAGATTTGCTTTCATTTTTGTCAGACTTCATGAATTGTCGGGATAACTTCTTGTTTGTGACGTGATTTTTATGATCTGTGATTTGTTGTTCAGTAGGACTAACAATGTTTCTAAAAATGTGACATTGATCGCACTGATCTTTCTTAGGTACATAAAAACTGAGCTTAAAATTTTCGTTTACTATATCTCGATATTGACGTTCGGATTCAGCTTTCTCTTCATATGTATTAGAGAGAAGCCACTCATTATACATTTCAAATAATCTATGAAAATTTAAATCTCCATCCAAATATAATTTGTTTGACCTTTGCCTTATATAATGTGACTCAACTGGCTGCAAGCTCTTGATGTGGTCACACACACTGGTTATTACACAATGTGTTTTTTTTACAGGGTGGTTTGAGTGTCTCCCTCTTTGATCTGGGACTAGTATTCCCGTCGTTGTATCCATCTTTTCTAAAGCCTTATTGACAACCTGATCACTGACAGACATAGTGCTTAAAAAATGTTTTTTGCACACATCCACAAAATTAATATTATCTTCACCACGACCGGTAGGTAATGAGTATTTTAAAGTGTACTTACGTCTTGAAACGGTATCTGTATAGACTCTACGTTTATTTTGTTTCTTTACCAAACTAGCTATATACATCCATTGCTTTTCTCGATCGCCTAAACTCCAAAAACTCTCAAAAATCTTCTTTCTTTCTTCTTCAGTTAATTTATCTAAACACTTCTTGCGGCAGCGACATGGTGGGCCCATTTTTCTACTTGCTTGTATTTTACCTTTTCTCGATATATATTCTTTTCCCAAGTTACGTAAACACTTTCTCTTATTATCTATCCATTCATTAAAATGTCTTTTTCTAACATTACCTTTATCTTTCCGTGATTGTCGACAGCGGTCTCTTGTGCTTGGACTATTATTTGAAATATCTGACAGTGGACTATTGTTCATTGTTGTATACGTCGAGCAGCTAGAAAGACATGCTGGTGAGGGTTGAGGTGAAATATCCAACACTGATAAATTTTCTTTTTGTACATAATATGGGCAGAAATCATTATCACAGTCGTAGTCCAAGTGATTGATACTACAAGTAGGGGAAGGATGGGGTGTCTCAAGATTTACAGTATCAGAATCTGTTGCTACTTCTAAGTTATTATAAAAGATGTCTCCATCTATTATATTTGCGAACTCATTCAGTTCTGATTCATTAAAACTTATTGGTAATGGAGACTCTGAAACAGTTATAATGTTTGATTTATTGCTTATAAGACCCAATTTAAAAAAATACTTTTACATACAACATTGAAATTAAGTAAAACAAAAGTAAACGCCACGTAAACTATGGCATGTCATCATACAACAAAGTTTTTAATAAAAACTTCCGAAGTGAAATGTGGTATTTATTACATACAACAATATTTTTATCTTAATGGAAACGTAAAATGTTGTATGTATTATATACAACATTTTTAATGAACGCTCAACAACGTAAACTATTATAAGTAATATATATAACATTTTAGATTGGTATTACCACAAAAAGTTATATTAACATAATTAATGCGAATAAAATAATACAAATTGAAACATACCTGTGATATTTTGGAGGTTTGAATCATGAAAACTGTTTAGTTCTATTTCACCTAAAGAAACGTTGTTATTTTCAATGGGTATCTCTGAGTTACTATTTTGTATAATTGAATTATTGACCATATCACATAGTCTACGCCCTCTAGTTATTATTACAGAACGTTTCATTGTTATTTTTAATTGAATTACTGCTAATTGCGTAAGTCTATTTTTAGAGAATTTAAATGCTTCCTACATACGTGCGGCCGGTTGATAGCCCAGCGTGGTCTGTTGTATGTGACCAATACGAGACGCGAGTGCGTGATTCTCCCGGCCCCGCACCCCGCGTAAACCATTGCCAAGGTCTAGACAATGTTTTAGTCCGTTCTCGTTCGAAAGTTACAACAATTTACGTCTAGCAAATCCTTGAAAAAATAGTGTTTGCGCTATTTTCTCACTTTGAATGCATTAAATAATGCAAATTAGGATTGTTCTCATTAAAAACGCTTGACGGCATTTTTGTGGCATACAACAACTTACGTGGGAGGTATCGATATATACCTTATCACCCCTGAGAATTAATATAGATAGAGAGTAAGTCAAGCACTGTCTTGTAATATTTTTAAAAAAATGTAATGCTACTTATATTGAGGCATTCTATTTCCATCTTTAAAATCTATAAAAAAGGTATCAAATTCATACACTCACTGTTACGGCCCTCAGCTGCCCCGACAAAGGTCGACTGGGCTAGGGCCCATAGTAACCCACTTGACGAGCAGCCGAGGGTTCGGGCCCAAATGACCTATGGATATTATTAACGAAAGGCTGATAAGCAAGCACAACTTACCGAGTTCCGGAGGTGGTGTTGACCACAGCGGCGTCAGGTGGTAAGTAATGTGTATGTAAGTAGTGTGTGAGAGTGTGTAGATGTAACCTGACGTCACCGATATGATCCGAGAGCAGATCCACAGGCGCTGCTTTTCTCCACATGTGCGATCCCTCCAGTGGGCGTTCACCAATTGAAGCTTTCTGCTTTTATTTTCACTATATTAGTTTATCAACTTTATTGTACATTTAATTAACTTCAAATTCAACCACATCAACGCTAATCGAACTTTAAGCAAGTGACACACTGCACAACTTAAGAACGGTCGGTCAAAGTTCAATGTCCCATGTTCACTTAGCACAAAATTATAATTGAGCAGAAACGCGATCTCGTCTCGAGTCACAAATTTTTAGCGTTCCAACCGACAAAGCCAATGTCTTATTACGGTATCAAAATGACGCACAAACAACTCGTCGATGCAAATTAATGGCAATAGAAGTTAATTTAATCACTCAAAAACTCCCGAGACGCCTCATTGTCACGTAAAACGAACGAAAAGACAACTCAATTAGAGGCAGTCGTCATGCGACCCAACTATACGAGAGTAAGTTCCAGACTTACACGGCGGCCGCGCCCAACTCCTCAAAACTATTACAACAAGAATTATATAAGACAAGCCTCGTTGCCATGCAAAACGCACGAGATCAGACAACGCTATTCAGAGGCGGTTTCGAGCGCAAACTTTAGACCGTCCAACCTACACCGGCCGTGCCCAACCAACTGACCTCACCCACGCATCAGGCTACCGAGCGCTCGGCCATGAGACCCGCACGGGAGAGGGGGCCGACGGTGACCTTTAAATTCTATTGAATGAACGCGCCGAGCGCGCGTTCTGAATGCAAATTTCAAATGCCCATATTTGGCCTAAACAAATCCCCGTCCCGGACATAAGGAATTATGTCCGCGAGTAAATTGGCAAACGGAATAGGGTCGCGACGGCACGTTGCAAGACCGAATCTCCAACCAAAACCTCGGCCACCCAAGGCACCCCATCAGATCCATACGACAACTTAACAATGCGCCAACGAAGGCAAAGCGTTAGGTTCTTTAACTAACACGAGGTCTCCAACACAAGGAGGATCCGTCCTGTCAGACCACTTAACGTGCTGCTGCAAAAGATGTAGGTACTCCAGAGACCATCGGTGCCAAAAACTCTGAGTAATTTATTGCAGCAGTTCAAATCTGCTCAACCGCGAAGAATTTATTTCCCTGAAGGGGTACTCGGGCAGGGCGTTAAGGGGCTGACCAATCAGGAAGTGGCCCGGGGTTAGAACCTCCAAATCATTCGGATCGGACGACAGGGGACAGAGGGGCCGAGAGTTGAGTACCGCCTCAATTTTACAGAACAGAATTTGACAGTGGCAAGTTCCTCAAATGTCAAAATAGTTTCACCAATAACGCGACGGAGATGCGCTTTTGCAAACTTAACCACTGCCTCAAAAATACCGCCCCAGTGTGGGCAGGCCAGGGGGTCGAATTTCCACTGGATGCCCTTCTTGGACATCGCAGTACCTAAATAAGTCCTGTTGCTGGACAGAAATTCGACGACCTCTTTCAAATATCTATCTGTGCCCCTATGATCCGTTCCACAATCAGACCGGATCAGGTCCGCAAGCCGCGACGCGATACGAAGCGGCCCAGCGTGGCCACAAAGGCTTCAGTGCTGAGGGCACTTACAAGTTCTAAATGAACGGCCTTAGTGGAGAGGCACACGAAAACGCACAGATAGGCCTTAGCATGATTTTGTTCACGCAAGTAGACATAATCAAGCCATCTACTATCTAACCATTTACTTAATTGTGCAGTAGCTGATTCCAATCTGATAATATCCTAACTAGCTAGCTTTTTAAACATGTAGTTCTATGCTTATATTTCAACCAAGTTTCAAAAGAGTCAATACTCAAACTACTATGAAAAACTTGAAAATAAATTGTAATAAATCTATTTCCTAATGCGCATAGATCAAAACAGATAAATTAAGTAAATCGATAAACATAAGAGATAGCCATATTTTTTTTCCAAAATAAATATCTTCGACAACGCCAACAAAAATATGAAAAAAAAGAGAGGATTGATTTTTATTTCTTTCGGCACAAATTGTGTTACTCAATTTCAATTTTCTTTTCAATAAAGCAAACATAATGATCAAATATATTTACAAAAACATATGTACACGTATTCAAAAAGTATATTAAATTCACTTTTTTACTCACAACCACTACAACTACGAAACATTTGAGGTCGCAGGAACCCCGTAGTACCGGTACCGATCAAAGGGGGGAAGGTGGTACCCCAGCTGCGGCCACTCAGCTAACGGGGGTGAGAAGGGTCTAGCTGACTGCTGAGTGGCCGTGAAGTTCCTCTCAACACGCTGAGGGGGGGCGACGACCCCCCCCCGCCCCTGGGGGAACGACCCCCCCGACTGGTCGGGGGAGGGGCCCCCTTCAAAACCAGGGACACGGTGGCCGGAAGGCGAGCGCCGAGCGTCGCCCGACAGAGGGCGTGGCTGAGCGCCCCCGCCCGTGGGAGTCGAGGGCCCGGCAGAGCCCCGAGAGGAAACGCCGTTCGCACCCAGTCACAAAACGGCATGGTGGTTGCCCTAGCAGTGCGGACAGGACCGCTGGTGCGGGCAGTCTCGTTGGAGGTGCCTTTCCAAGCACGAGTAGCACCAGCGGCGCTCCTTGGCGATAGTTCGCCTCGCCGGAATCGGCTTACCCAATAACTTCGGGCACGACGTCACTCGGTGATCGGATGCTCGACAATAGAAGCAGAGGGGCGCCTCCCTGGCCGCTAGGCCCCTGTAAGATGGTAGAGAGCGGCGCCCTCCCGCGGAAGCTCCGATCGGCCTTAGGGGGGTCGGCGAGGACTTGCCCGGCGGATTCCGCCTCTCACTGGGCACGGCTCGGTTGGCAACCCGTAAGTCGTCGACGTTGCCCGCCGCGTTCTCAATTTGTCGGCACTGCTCCTCCAAGAACCGCAGTAAATCTCTGAAGGGTGGAATATAGGAGGCGCCGTCCCCGCCGTAACTCTCCTCAAAATGGATCCGAAGATAGAGAGGCAGGCGGGAAAGCACGATGTGGAGCAACAAGAAGGACCATTAATCCACCGGTAAATCCAGCCGTCTCAACGAATTACAGGCCACCACGACTGGATTTACAATGTCCGGACGTAGTCTGGCCCGGTCCCTAAGCAGCGGGAGGTTTAGAAGCTGCTTAACGTATTCGTCCGCATTTCGCGGGACGTTGGCGTATCTTCCGGCAAGGAGGTCCCAGGCAGTCTGGTAGGCGTCGTCCGACAATCTCAAATGGCCAACGACGCCCGGGGCCTCCCCCTCCAGTGAGGCTAGGAGGTACATCATCTTCTGGCTTGGTGTCAAGTCCCTCCGGGCGTCCACTAGGCTATCAAAAAGGCCCTCAAAGGTCAGCCAGTCGGAGAGGGCCCCGGAGAACCTTGGCAGGTCCAGAGTTGGGAGTCATCCCAACAGCTCCGGCTGGGTGGGCTGCTTCCGAGGGGACTCGGGCAGGCCACTCAGCTGAGCTTCCCGCGCTTCATTATCATACTTGGCCCCCGCCTCGATCAAGTCGTCCGTGAGCGAAAAGAATTGCTCGTAGTCCGCGAGGCAGGAGTTTAGGACTCCCTATTCTGCATCCGATGCCAAAAGCTCTGTACAAGCCTCCTCCACTACGACCTTTCGGGCATCGACCTGCTCGAGCCGCTTCCCTAAACTATGGACCCGATCGGGTCGCCCTATCAAGGTATGGGCGTTCGCGGCCCAGCGCAGCTCCACCTGCAGGCGAAGCGCCGGTGGCTTGTGCGATGGCATCACTACTAAATACAAATTACTATCAAATTAATTCAATACAAATTACACTACAAGTACAAATTACTATTTATTAAATTAAATACAAATTACACTACACGGCAAGTACACACTACAGTCGGTCAGCAAAGTTGCCTTGCTCAGGCGATCGACCCTTCGGCAATTAATATCTACTAAATTATAGTATATCTTATAATTATAAGATAACGATAATTATACTACACTCACCATACGAAACACAGCAGCATTAAGCTGATATTTTACGCTGGTATTCTGTGAGAGCGTGGCCCTTCCCCGGTCAAGCCGACCCATTCGTGTTACAACTATACCAGAAATATAGCTGCAGCATGGCTCTACCACGTATACCTACCTTCCTACGTGTAATCATAACGCTTTTGCAAAAGTTACATAGATATTGAAACAATACTGCCGGATTCTAAGTGATGGACAACTTTTCCACCTAGGAGTCCGTACGGGTAGGTA